TCGACCATTAGTGGAATCCCTTCTTTCACGGCTTCATGCATCGCTGTGTTTCAACCGCGTGAAATATACGTATTTGTACTTTTCAGCGATTCACTCGCGAGCTTCGTGCCATTCATCCCGAGTCGATCGCTCGTTAAAGGGAGCGGCTGTTTCCAACGACTCCCGCCTCAATATTTTACGCTTGGAATTTGAAATGCTCGAAAAGAATCTGATGGCAAGACGGCTTTAAAGACGGATTTTATGCTCGACAGTAAAACGGCCGCGCTTACAAAAGCCTTTAACAGGATCTCTTTGACTTCGATCTCTTCTACTTCGGCAGACTAAAAATAATTAATCGCGATGGCCTTCGTAGAAAGGCTTAATTATACCGTGTTTTATCCGTATTTCTATCAATCCTTGGTAAAGTGGCGCGTAAAAAACTGAAAGTGAATCTTTCGGGCAAAGAATGTCGAGTCGAACGAACGTAAATTGAAAGAAAGTGGATAAAATTTTATAATAATTTGTTACGATGATGAAATTTTGTTTGTTTCGACAGTTTTGTTCCTTATCTTCTATCGTGCATCTTCTCGCACACCTATCATTCCGATTTCTTTGATACATTGTCAACTACAATTGAGTTGTAACGTTAAAATGTACAATTTATTGTACATCGATGAGTGACTTGTTGAATGAAAATGAGATTACAATAATGATTTAAGCGTGAGCGGCACCCAAGATCGTTCCACTCCGAACTAACAGCCAGTGTTTTTCATAAAATATCGATTAAATACGAAGAACCTGCGCATGAAGCAAGCCCACCGCCTCATACATAAAATTCAATAAATATGATAAAGAAGCTGGCTAACAAGAGTAGCATATCTCAGTGCCATAACAGCGATACACAACCGGTGTAATAACAACATTCCTTGTTACAAGTATCGATTTTGATAACGTTGCTGATACATAGGAATAAATAATTCCTTCGATGAACGTCTTATCTTCCGATACAGCTCGATCTAATAAACAAGATCGAAAACTCAAGGGATAAAGTTGCGTCGATACGAAATCATTTTTTCTCTCTCTCTCTCTCTCTCTCTTTTTAGATCAATCGTCACAGCGAAATGGTAGAACGGCTGCGAGATATCAATATAATTCGAGGGCGACGAGTGGCCGTTAACTAGAAATAATTCTCGGAAGGTGCGGGGATTAAAATACCTCGGAAACGGAGTCGTGCGTGGATCGTTCGAGGCCGACGAGGCGTTAATGATCGATAGATCGAAAACGGGCCAGTTAAACGATCGGATTATCCGCGCTATCGGCCCATCTTATAACTTATTCCGCCGATACGCGATCTGATCTCAGAGCGTATCGCTTGGTAATAGCTTCTGGTTACCGGTTGTAACCCGAAGCTCTCGATTTAGTTAGAATCGATCAGCACACGCAACACGCGCAAAAGGACTGCGACTGGCTTCGATGTGTGTACGAGGAGAGGCGTTAGCCGGATGTTCCTCTCGCGCCAATCGCGTTTAACGCGAGCAACCCTCACGGCTCTTCTATTTACGCGGAATGTAAATCACGTTCACGGGTATTTTTTCGCCTCTTGTCGATCATTTTCTCCGTGAACGCGGCCGCTTCAGTTCCACCCACGCAGATACGTTCCAACTGCTTGCTTACTTGCTTGCTTCTATAAATATTTCTTATCGATTGACTGCAAATTGTTGGAGAATTTTTTTTGAGAAAATTTAAGAATCGTAAGATCGACGGAAATGTCGAACGTATTCAAAGCGGGATATTAATTGTAACGTTTAGCGAGTGAAGTAGATTTAGATTCCACTTCTTCAATGGACAAAATTATACAAAATCCACTGCAGTCTACTTTTATATTATATCTTCAAAACTTTATATAGTTTAAAAAATAGTTATAGTTATAATAAAGTTACAAATAAAAAAGTATACATATAGT